TAGAAAGCAAGAAAAGGATTTGACAAATGGCAGATCTTTTGCGCAGGTGGTGTCAGGGGAAACAGACAAAATTTTACTAGTGTCGAAAGGGAGAGGGCTGAACCAGCAACCTCATACAGGGAGGGTTGCTGGCTCGACCATTAAAACAGGGGGGCGTGATTTTTTAAGAGGTCACGTGGGACGAAAAGACTTAGAAAATGGGCCCAGTCGAGTCGATCCATTTTCTAGTGGGCCGGAGAAGGCAACTCAAGTAAAGACTTTAAATCTGGGTTCTAATATTACAAGTCTTGAGCCCAAGGCCCATTACAAGACAGATGGGCCAAGGGACCCTTTAAGTAAGCACGTGACTGGGAGGAGGGATGAGCTAATAGATGAAATTAAGCGTCTATCTTCTTCTACCCCGAGTCCCTCCTTTCGTTCGAACAGTTCATGCGCAAAATCTCAAGACTCTTAGTCTCGAGGCTCTCTACAGTGGGTCCCATCCAACATGGCGAACCGTCTCTCACCAGATAGGCGCAACCCGAGATACCTGAAGCCTAGTGATTTGAACAGAACAGGGTTTGAAGATTGGTTGAGTGAACAAAACARCAATGRYGATTCTGATAGAGACGAAACGTTAAGTTTGGGAAGTCTGTCTCCGGAAGGCAACAATGATTTACTTGAAATAGAAAGTTTGCATACAGAGCTGTTGTTTTTAGAGGAAGAGACTGAAGAGGCAGGTGGCGGGAAGACTAGAAATGGTGAAGAAAATGGTTCTAAAGCTGTGAAAACTCCTCTTCCCTTCGTCGAGGGAGTTGACTCTGAATCTAATGAATTACAGGATGTTGGTGGAGAGGGACAAGAATCGGCCGTGAGGATGAATGTGGGTATTTCAGTGTCAGAAACACAGAGAAAGGTTTTCCAAGTGGGTAGATCGTCAGTAAGTAATTCTTTCTCTATGTCTACTTCACAACCTTGTCCAAAAAGGGGAAAGGCCTTAAAACCATTTGTCGCCTGTCAGCAATTCAATTCTAGTGATTCTAGTCCTACCCCCGTCCTACCAGGTATGGGTGTCAATTCTTTTTTAGGTACTGACTTGTTTGCTATGCCTGTAACAGATATTCCAGCTTCCCATCCAGGAGATTATGATGCAAGAGAGAGGGTGATAGTGGAAGGAGGAGAGAGGGGTGTTGGAAGGAAGTAGTAAGGGGGAGGCAGTTAGAATTTGGGAGTCGATCTGTACAATGATGGAGGAACTAAAAAAAAAGGAAGGATTCTTAGAAAGATGTTGTAGCCAAAACAAGTGTGAGCAGGGTAAAATTCTTCCTCAGACATTGGCTG